TCTAGACTGGCCGTGTCTTGTAAATGTTATAGAGCATTTCTTGCGCAGTAGATGTGTTTTAGCACATGTACGTATATATATATATATCTACACATACACACACACGTGATCTGCACTTCATGCTTCCATCTGTAACTTAACATGTGCGATGCATCCAGTTTCTGTCAAAGCATATGAATGTTGCCTTCATAACGTTCAGGCCGTTCCCCGTTATGACCTTAAGTGCAGTACTGCAGAAGTTAGGCGCAAAAGAGCACCATTTTTGTTCTTTTGTTTCGTGTCAAGTGATGTTTATTTGCGTCATACGCGTCTCGTTTGCATATAGATGTATTTGCGTATGCATTCTTCCGACAGCTTATCCAGCTTGATGAGTCAGGTGCTCCGCCTGTGCCCAATCTTCATATTAGATGTGTGATGCCAATGCCCATATATGTAATGAGCGCACCGATAATTAAATACTTGTGCGTGTTTTCAGACATGTATAGAGTTCTGAGATATATATGTATATACCTATATGTATAGGTATGTATCTATATATACACATACGGGAGGACAATATATATATATATATATATATAGGTGCATATTCATATGTAGCTATCTGCACATACTGTAAATGCAGATGTACAGCAATGTACCTGTCCCCTTCCTATGTCTCTGTCCCGCTGTGTGTGTGTATGTACGCATGTATAACGTATATAACGATATGTGTGTTCCGTCGTTATGGTGCACACTCAGTCATCGTTTCCGTGTCACTTAGCGTGATTGTAGAATTGCTGGTTTCCTCGTGCTTACTACTATAAACCATCTACAGATGTGTCTAAACACACATATATATATTTATCTATATCAATACATATATATATATACACACACGAAGCGGTACATGTATGGATACTTATGGGCATAGGCATCACTTGCCCTGCTTAGGCATGAGCTTGAAAGATGTGCCACCAAGTTCCTGCAGTTTTGATTCGCTCGTTCAACACCTTCGCTTGACAAGGACCGCGCAACGACGCAAAGTTTCCTTTCCCGTCCAGGGTGCATCGGCACCTTGGTTTGATCTGAAGCGTCACGTCTGGCGTCCTAGGAGGATCCCTGATCATCGCCTTAAGCCATGAACCTTGAATCCAAAGCCCTCAGAGTTTAAACCTTAATCCCGAAACGCCAAACGCTAAACTTTAAACCCTAAACCCTAAGCCCTAAGCCTTAAACTCTAGACCATAGCTTTGGTTCCTTCGGTCCAGCAGCAGAGCTCCGGGTCCTCTACGCGTCGCGACAGCTCAGGCAGCTCCTGGCGGACTCCCGGACCGCAGAGGCTCTGCACTGCACGGCTTTGGGTTTAGGGTTTTTGTTTTAGGGTTTAGGGTTTAGGGTTTACGGTGTAGTGGTTTGGTGCTTTAGGGGGTTTAGGCTTTAGGCTTTGGGGTTTAGGGTTTGGGGTTTAGGGTTTGGGGTTTAGGGTTTGGGGGTTTAGGGGTTTAGGGTTTACGGTTAAGTGTTTACAGGGGGCAACTATCGTGACACTACAAGGCTAGGATAAGGGTATTGCATCGCATTGCATTGCAACCACGTAGCGGTGAAGTCTCAGCATGTGCATCTCTACATCCCGCTGCAGTGTAACCACAGTTCTAGGACTGCGCACAC